TTAGGTAGGTTACGTATAAGCAGATTAATTAAGCATATAACAAGTATATTCGCCGACTTACGTCAAAGTGATCTTCTCAGCATCGAATAATGGTCTTTGGAGAATAATTGTCATTTCTCTTCGCAGCTTGAAACCACTATTTTTTTAGTTTTGGGTCAGAAGTTCCAGTCAAAAACAATTTATTTGGGAACTTTGTTGAAGTAGATTGGCACAAAACATGAGTCAACACGGCTTTTTTTCGGAATATTAGTGGTATTGTTATGATCACATGATGTTGATGGATAGTCCATTTTAAATTTTTCAAAAAAATATTACGAAAGTCGAAAAAATATGCAAAAGTATGAAAATTTAAAGCCAGCAACGAACAATTACGACCAGTGACAGACAGGAGTGACGTCATCGCAACCATAGGTTCGTTTTCGCGCGAAAATTGAAATTGTCAATTTAAAACCGCATTTTTTCCGATAAATCACAATGTTTTAATTTTTTAATATATCTGTGGTTTATTCTACATGGAATTCTTTAAAATGAAAACAAAAATAAAAATATTGCATCTTCCCTATTTTTGGTGAATGCCAAACACTTTCGGATATATAAAAGCAAACTTCTCAATTACAAACAGTAGGAACTTATTTCGTGTTAGGTTATTATTAGCTTATAAAAGGTGGGAAATAAAATCATTTCTAACAAATATTAAAAATTGCTTCATAAAAACAAAACCACTAAAAACAAAGGAACAAATAATAAATTAAAGTCCTACATTTTAGTCAAAATAACATTTGGATTGGAATTGGTGATTAAAATGCATATCACTGACACCATACCTAGTATTTGTTAATTATTTGACTATGTACTTTAGATATAAGTAGGTACTGTAGGTATTACTTAAGGAATTAGCATATAGATATCTTACCTCTTTCGCTTGTTTTTTATATGAAGTGGATTTTTATTTATGTTAAAAAAGATTTGACCTTCAATTATTTAGTATTTTATACAAGATATACGTATACATTACCTACGAAGGACCACAATAACGCAAGTGTAACGCGTTCGTTTTGCGATCGTGAAGTTAAGCAACTTTCACAATGGCCGATCTTATAATGGGTGACCAACCAAAAATGTATTAATTCGAGTTTCTATGTTGCTGCTCGCTGCATCTGCAGTCATTAGCCTAAGCTGCATTAGGCCTGCGTAGTGACTCATGACACATTAATAGGCTCATAATAAATCCGCATCGTAACATAGACTTACCTACCTTTTAAAAAAAATAAAAGAGATAGCTAATATATTATTATCACCGTCATCGTTCATGTATAAAATTTATGGCTTTTTTTAACGAAATAAACCCATATCCAACCTTAACAACAAGTTTAAAATTTAAGTACATCAATCATTTACCTACTATTTGGCCCGATTATTCACATTTAAATTTAGAGAGGATCTCCGTAGGTACTTCTTAAATTTAGTGTGACATTTCTAATTTTAGAGAAAATATAACGATTAGAACGCGTTTCAGAATACCATTTAATCGTCTAAATCTAAGTTGAATAACTTAGCGACGTCAATTTTAAATTTAGAGATAGGGTGTCATTACAGAATACCAAATTGAATTTGACAACTCTATATCTAATTTTAGTTAGTTTTAGATATAAGTTGGCACGCCAGAATTGGGCCCACTGTGTACATATTTTATTCATATAAAATACTTTTACGGTTAGAGGCACTATTTGACACACTATTTATACATATAGCATTAATAACGAGAAAAGTTCATTTTCTATGAGAACTATTACGGGTTCGCCAGGTTGACGCCAGCTAAGAATTTTTAGTTCAATATCTTTGGTCCTTTAAGAGTATTGATTATGAAATTTTGCAAAGCCAGGGCACTATTTGCGAACTATTTTGTGTGTCAATTTCGTTGCTTAATTATATGCCGTCCTTGGGGACGGCCATGGGTACACTAGCTTGACGTCATGCTAGCATACACAGTAAACATGGTCTTTATTTCTTAAATTAAAGAGGCACTTTTTTTTTTATTTTTACACTAATTTGGCACTATTATATTAACACAGTTTTTAATGCCATAACGAAAAACCGCATATTGATCGTGTGTACGCTAGCATCACGGACACTAGACCGCTGGATCCATATTAAGTTACAAACAGTATATTTAAGACCAAAAAAGCAAAAATGCATCATCATCATCATCAGCCTCTTTATGTCCTCACTGCTGGGGCACAGGCCTTCCCTATGGATGGAATAGGGAGATTAGGCCATGACCCATCACGCGGTGGGTGTCATGTCACCACCAAAAATGCATAATCCAGTCGAAAATAAATAAATAAATGTAATTATGAATAGCCGCAACACTATATTAGTCTATTATCTATCAATATAACTGTTTACACATTTCAACTTTTACAAAATTGATTACATGGAAATCAAAAACAATTATAATATTTACGTAAACAAAGTATAATGTTAACAAAATATAAAATATATATAGTTTATGTGGGAATTTCGGTATAAAATATATGTCAATCTCCAGACCGTAAATTTTATAACTATGCAAAAAAACACGTCCATCCGCTGCAGCATGAAGAAAGGTCAAACCAAAAAATACACTTTGACATTTATAATATTAAATAGAATCATAACATATAAATAGAAAAATATGAAATTAAAAAGCACATAGTACGAGCCCCACTGATGGTCACCCCACAGTGAATCAAAGTGACAACACGCATCCCCACAATCGTGAATTTTGTATGGCCGTATACAGAAAGAAAGCCGAAAGCCGATCGACGCTTATTGGCGCCGATCCTTACTACATAAAGGAAGCCGATTAAAGCAGATCAAACAAAATGTCGGACTCATCGGACGATGATTTGGTTTTGTTAGAAAATGTGTTTTTAAAAATGCGAAAAAAAGCTATACGTCCTATAAATAGAGAAAGGCAACGTTTAGGAGAATACCATCATTTATTTGTAAAAAAAATGGTTGCCTGTAAAGTCGGTTTTACGGGCGAAGATTTTACGTGACAACGTCTTTTTCTCGGTAGAATATTTATTGATATGAATATAATTAAATTGCACAATAGGAACAAGGAATTGAATGAAAATAAGAATTGCACAAATTTTAACTATAGAAATATATTTTGTTTACTAAAACATTGTACATGTAAACTTAAACTTAACACGAGAGACTCATCGTAACGTTACCGAGCGTTACACTTTTTCATAAGTGACTCCCAGCCGCAACCTAATTTAAGACGTTGTCACGTCAAAAAAAAAAATTTGATGATCAAAGATTTTATACATATACAAGAATGACTCAAGAAACATTATATTACATTTTGGATTTAGTAAAAAACCGTTTGATGAAAAATTGGTGCAATTGGCATAAACAACCAATCCTTCCAGAAGAAAGACTTGTTGTCACCATTCGGTAAGTACGAAACAAATAATTTTAGCGCTTATTTAATGAAAGATAAAGTTATTAGATTTATAAAAAGATTATAACTTAGATTGATTTAATCTAAGGATAATAATTCAAATACAAATTATTTATTTGTTTCTTAGGTTTTCACGCACATCACTCATTAAATAAAACTAGTTTTTACGGGTTAATGCACGAAACTTTATTTATTTATTGACAAATTATTTATTATTCGGACAACATAGATCATAATGACCAGCTGACCAGCGCGTGTCGGCGCTTATCGGCGCTGGTCCATAAAAAAAGGGCCAGCGCCGATCGGCTTTCTTTCTGTATACGGCCTATGTATGCGAGCGATTTGAATTCAATCAAGCAAATATGGTTTAATTCAGAAAACAATAGTATTTTTTAGGAAAAGAACAGTATAATTTATTACACTAATAAGTTTTCCATCAATATTACGAGTGGGAAATTCCTAGGGTAACCATGTAAAACACTAAAAACCAACGATGAAAGTTCACCGTTTCGTAACGTAAAAGTTTTGAACTAAAATATAATGAAATATGGAAAATAAATGTATGTTTATCGTAATACAGTACGTATCTTTATATAAAAATAACTTTTACTTACAATTAAAAAGGTTTTTCAACACGAAATATTTTTTTCACACAACAAAGCTCACCAACGGAAAACTCAACTTTTGAATGAGTTTTAACGGTTGAACAAATGACACATTCATTGAGTGAATGTTGTCTTTAGGAAGGGAATGAAAGGGTACGGCCAGAGTGCACTCAGATTCAGATTCAGATTCAGACTCAGAAAACAAGCGCGAGAAATAAACAATGTAGTTAAAGCAGGGTGGCCATCCATAGTGGCAGCAGGCAACCTGCTTAAACTACAATGTATATTTCTCGCGCTTGTTTTCTGAGTCTGAATCTGAATCTGAATCTGAGTGCACTCTGGCCGTACCCTAATTTAGCAAATAAAAATACGTTTGGTCATAGTAATACAGTTTATTTTTGCGTAGAACACAACTCGAGTCATTTTGTCTCAGATCTGAGACAAAGCAAAAACGAGGCCTCGACAACAGTGGTCTGGATTCTGGCATGATTCTCTAAACTTAAAACTAAATTTGACATCACTGATGTCGATTCTGGCATGATTCTCTAAACCTAAACCATCTTAAATTTGACAACAGCGTACCCTTGTCATTCTCTATACGGAATGAAAAGGAGAGACTGATGGTTAAATTTAGATTTAGAGAATCACGCCAGAATCGACACAACTGTTGTCAAATGTCAATAAGTTTAGGATTAGAGTATCATGTCAAAATCGACACCAGTATAGCCTTGCCATTCTCTTTACACAATGAAAACGAGAGACTGAAGTTAATTTTAATTTTAAGTTTTGAGAATTATGCCAAAATCAACACCAATGTTTAACCTTGAAGCCGTTGTTATTTAAAATGTAGTAAAAAATAAAAACAAATTTCGCATTAACGCATGCGATTTATCAATCGAGTCCATAATCGATTCTCGGTAATTCGTTGCAACCCTACCAAGGTTGAGAATAGAAAATTACATTACAAATGGCTTCCCTTTTCAACTTTTGGATATCATAATTTCGCTACTGGAATGGTATTTTAGACAAGGTAGGTTTGTTTATTTTAATTAGCTTATCTCGAAATAGGTAAAATACACTAAAGATTTTGATTAGTAAACTTAAAATTTGGTTAAATACATTTTACGAATTCCATTTGTCTATAATTTTACGCCGGTTGCATGGTTATTTTTTTATGGTATTTTTGTTAAGATTGTCTTCTATTGTTGTCTTTATTATAGTTTCAGTCAGTTTGAGTGACGCTAGAATTATAATTATTTCTTAATTTCAGGCCATTATTAGACGCGACGAACGTGTTCGATCGAATTATTATTTACTCTTGTAAACGTAACTTGTAATCATGGGCATACAGGATCTACAAACATTTTTAGAAAACGAAGGAGTAGGTGTTGATCTATTCCGAATTGCCAGAAATCAGGCGGGTGGCTTTAGACTGGTGCTAGATGCAGAGGGTTGCTTAGATCGTCTCTATGGAGGATTTTTCTCAGGTAACCAAATTACTTACATACCCACTAAAGAGTTCTAGGATACCTTCATTTTTAATACATATTGTCTTAAATTTCTGCCTTTAATCACACTATTTCAGAACACTAAAGCTCTAAAACATACAGATAATAAGGTTATTGTTTATAGTAAGAAAAAACACACTTCTTTAATTCTAAAGTAAACAGAGCTTGAACTATGGAAAATGAATAAATTAAATAAAAATAATTGAAATTATTACTATATATCAGGGCTTGGAATACCGTAAAAAAATCTAACATTACTCTTGTTTGACAAGGGTGGCGATACTCAGAAAATAATGTTACTTTGGTAACATTATACATATCTTTAAGCTAGTTACCACTAAAAACAGTAAACATTACCAGTCTTTTCAATGTTATAAGGAACGTGGCTTTTGTATAATTTTACCTGTAAGTACCATTTACGTATCATTAATTACTTACACTTTTAACAGTAATTGTTGTGTTTATATTTATACCATACGTAAAAGAGATGGATGGTTAGAAACCACTATTTTCCGCTTCTAAATAAAGTTCTAAGCAAGTTACAATTTATGCCACATTAAAATACTAGGAGAAAATCAGAAGAGAAGTAAATGGTATCTTTAAAAGTATTGTTATTATTAATATTCCTTTTAACTTTAATACATCATTTGGTTACATGATTATTATTTAAAATTAATGTTTTAATATACAGTTAAACCCGTTTAAGATGATTTCACAGAGACTCGACCAAAAATGCGTCTTTAGCGGGAAAGCATATAATGGGCGATTGTGTGATAGGGAAATTTCAAATGTAAGTATTGAGGTATTAAATGTACAATATTTAAGAATTATGTATATTATAAAAAAATAGTGTATTATAGCGTGATTGTATTAAACGGGTTCTACTGTAGTTAATGTAACATTCTGTTACCTATTTACTGGCATTGAAATTACCAAAATAAAATTATGTTATTTAATAAAATAAAATATTGCATTGGTAATGTTAACAAGCCCTGCTATATATCATGAATGTCTAACATAATAAATAAGTCTGCAATAGTTAAAAATTAATTTGAATTTAGATCTGTGTTCGGTACCTGACCACCAGAGATGTGAATTATTTGAGACATATATTTAAAATGCAAATACAAAATGCAAAATATCTATTTTTCTTTTTATTTCTAAATGTATTTTGTATTTTATATGAAATACTTTATATAAATATTTAGTATTTATAAAATACAAAATAGTTTTGTAACATTTTTAATTAATTTTTCCTATTTTTCATTCTTAAATCCAAGATTACCTTATTTATGAACGCACTGATTGTGATTGTAGTGTTGTCAATGTCAACTACAGTCTTACAAGACCTATTTCATGTGAATGACATTGACATGAAGATATGGCACAGTGTTTTATAGAACCAAAAATATTTACACCTTATGGTTTTTGCATAAGTCAATTATTTAAACCCTAATAAAGGCAAGAGTTTAATTCCCAGATCACTATTTTAAGTAAAAAAAAAGATATGAAGTAGCAAAGTTTTTGAAATTTGCGCATGAAAAAATTAACAATTTAATTTCCTCAAAAGATGGTTCCATATCTGTCCATGAGATATTTGCCAATTGCTAAGGAATTATTGATGGCATAATTTTGTAATTTTATTTTATTTATAAGTGTCCTAGTTTCCAAGAAATATAGTTTTTTTAAATTTCGATTTTTAATTTTTTTCTCCAAAAATCGGCAAAAGTGGAACCTGGATTTAGTACAGAAAGGTTCTATAAGTCAAGTTCTATCACCCATAAAAAAATGAAGTTTCACTTTTGCGGTTTTAAGAAGTTATGACAGAATTTAGATAAAGGTCAACTTTCATGATCTAGGGTTGAAAAATATGTCCGTTTTTATAGTTGGCACCCGATGACAGTAACAGTTCATAAAATCCTCATTATTTATGTATGATAGACCACATCCGTAGGTTTATTTCTATCTAAGTTCTAGGTTCCACTTTTCACCTCGACTTTTTCGTTTTTAGGGAGAAAAAACAATAAATACGAAATACAAAAAAAAAGCTGCTCCCAAACCAATGCATTTTTTTTAAGCTAAAGAAACGCGTTTATACGCCTCTGATTATGCCCGATTGACACATATTACGGTTAAAGACATTTATTTTCTCAAAAGAATTTACAAAAAATCCACTTACAGAGAAAATACAAAGCATAATTAACAAAAAAAATCATTACATCGTGTCGACTAACAATTCAAAAATGTAGGTAGATTTACAAACAGAAACAACAATCTCAGTCTCTGCGCATGCGAACAGCGGAGACACATAAAGGCAATGACACAGTGCGGGATGTAGCGGTGCGACTAATCTTACATAGAAATGCATGAGAAAAAAAAATACGTATCATTTTATCTTACACAGATCAAACATATATATATATTAACATATCTATGCATATATGTTTTGGAAATTCTAGGTTAAGTTCGTCTTAGTAATATAGGAAACTTACGTTATTACTAAATGTTTTTTTTGTTACTTTCAAAGTGATATTATTATTGACATAAATAGGTTTTTTTTTTTACATAAAAAGATCGATTATTGATTAAATACATTAATTATATACTATTCACTTATGCATCCACTGTACTGGCCGATAATATTATTCGCTATAACAATAGATTAGTGTAACTAGAATTATTGGTAAATGATAGAACAATAGTTTTACATAAGTTTATACAATTACACACTTCACACAATAGTTAAATTTATAGCCGAGAGTTCCGCAAAATGTGGTCTTTCAATAACCTTTTAAATATGTTAAGTGACTTACTGTTTTTAATATTCTTTGGCAATTCGTTGTAGAATAGAACTCCTTCGTGAATAATTGTTTTTTTACCATAGTTAGTACGGGGTAAATTTAGACAGATATTATCAGCCTGTCTTGTTAATCGTTTATTGTGGTAGGAATTTTTAGTAAATGTGATTTGACTTTGTGTATCTTTCGTCATTATTTTTCTAATATGAATGCAAGTATTATATTTATATATCTGAGAAATGTTCATCAATTTAGTTTCTTTGTAGATTGTTTCAGTAGGTGTGAGATAGTCATACATAAAGAGAATTTTAATTAGTTTATTTTGTTTTATTTGTAATCTTTTCAGATGTGATCTTGCTGCAGATCCCCAAACTTCTATTAAATATTCTAAATTAGCTTTCACTAAGGAGTTATAGATGAGGTATTTAACTTTTTTAGGAAGGCAACCAGCCAAGCCCCTGAGGGCCCCAGCCAAGGATGTTAGCTTAATACAAATCGAGTCTATATGTGATTTCCAAGTAAATTGATTATCGAGAATAAGGCCAAGATATTTCTCTGAATTAACTTTTTGAATGATATTGTTATTGATTTTCAGTTGGGAGTGGTTAGTTATCTTTTTATTCTTAGGAGCGAAAATCATATATTTAGTTTTTGGTACATTTATAGTTAATAAATTTGACTGTAACCATGTATGCAGGATATTCAAATCATTTTGTGCCTGATTTATTAATGTTTCAACGGAATGACCAGAGTAAAAAAGACTAGTGTCATCCGCATATAAAAAGATATCACCTTGAAGACCTATTTGCTTTATATTATTAATATAGATGAGAAATAATAAGGGACCTAAAATAGATCCTTGTGGTACACCACAAGTAATAGTTTTGGCGTGACTCTGCTCATTCCCAATCTTAACAATTTGACGTCTATCTTCAAGGTAAGACTTCAAGGTTTTAAGAGCCAAATCTTCGATGCCGATGTCTTCTAATTTTGATAATAGTATTTTATGGCTAACCGTATCAAATGCTTTTTGCAAGTCAATAAATACACCCAAAGTAATCATTTTTTTGTCAATATCCTGTTTTATTTTTGTGACCAGATCAACAGTTGCTGAGACGGTGTTTGATTTTGGCCTAAAACCATATTGTTTTTGAAAGAAGAAATTTATCGACACAAGATATTTAAGTAGACGTTCATGTACTATCTTTTCAAAAACTTTTGAAAGTACAGGTAACACCGATATAGGCCTGTAATTGTTGGGGTCTGCTTTATTTCCTGCTTTATATATGGGGCTAACTTTGGCGATTTTTAACGAATCAGGGAAGTAACCGTCATCTAAACATTTATTAATACATTGTGTCAAGCTATTTGCAATTATGTTTTTGACGCTTTTTATAGCTTTGGTACTTATACCATCAACACCTGAGCTTGTGTTTGAGTCTAAATTATTAATAATTTTTAAAACCTCGGTTGTCGAAGTTGCTTCAAACCGAGTTAAAGTATTTGTATTATCTTTTGTTTTATTAAATGTTAGTGTATAAGTCAAGTTATTTTGAAACTGCTGTGGTATTTTATTTGCTAAATTTAAGCCTATTGTAGAGAAAAAGGAGTTAAGATGTTCACATATTTCATTTTTACCTGTAACCACATCCGATGTCGATGACATTTGAATTTTTTTGGGACCTTGGATGCATGTATCTTTATTTTTGTGCAAATTATTAATAAGATTCCACAATTTTTTAGGATCCTTCTGACAATCTGTAAAAGCCTTATAATAATATTTGTTCTTCGTAGATTGTATGCGCGTACTGACAAATTGTCGCTGTTTTGTAAATTTCTTGCGTAAATTTTGGTCATCAGGCATTTGTTTTAATTTGTGCCATAGGTCATTTCTTTCATTTATGGATGCAATTATATCTTTATTTACCCATTCTTTTTTTGGAGGATTTTGTATTTTGTATTTTGTTTCTTTATTTTTATCAATAGCAGCCAATATTATCTTTTCCAATGTATCATAGTCATAATCTTCACATGACTTAATAGTATCTTCAACTGTTTTATAGAAATTAGAGTAGTTTATTTTTTCATATTGTATTCTTTTTAAAGGTTCTTGTTTTTGTCTATGTATTTCTAAATAAATTTGCTTGTGATCTGATAGTGAAGACTCCATTACAGCCATGT